ATGGGCACCCCTGCTGTAGACCATATGTGCCCCTCAAAATCCTTGCTGGAAAACCCCTATAGATAGGTTTTTCACATCCTGTCCTGTTGCTAGGATACTCCAGGCGTTGGACACAAGTGCACTCCCTTGTTCCAATCCCTGTGCATGTGTAGTATTCTCGGGAGTGTTATCAGTTGTAAGTTGTGGAGAAGTTTACAGCCTGAAGAAGACTGTATTAGAGATACAGGGCTAATTTCAGTGCTGGCCGGGATGACCAGATGCTCTAAGCTTAATAAATCTACACTGCTGAGAAAGCTAAACAAATTCTCCTTACTGTACGGATAATGCTTGGTTTGTGTTATCTTTACAGAATTTCTATGTGCTTCAACAACCTTCTTAGTGGGGGCCCCTCGTAGCCCCAGGCCCCATAGCAATGGCGTGGGCTGCTATGGCTATTGTAACGTTGCTGCGAAGAAGCTTTTGGATAAACAGATAAGCAAAAATGTCATCAACAGTGACATTTAATTTTGACTAAATCACTCTCCTCAACCCCTAAATAGAAGAAGGCAGAGGGAGCCATGCTAGGATCAATAGAACTCCGGGGGGAAAAGTGCTACCCTCGCATTGCAAGGGTAAAGTGTTACCGTATATACTCGAGTATAAGCCGAGATTTTCAGCCCATTTTTGTGGGTGAAAAGTGCCCCCCTCGGCTTATACTCGAGTATATACGGTAATTTTTGTCTAGGTTCAAAAAACAAATCATACTCACCTGATCCTTTGAACCAGCTGGCTCTTACACCGTTCCCCTTCCACCTCGGCTCCCACTGTGCTGCAGCTGTCTAAAGGTGCCCATACACTGCACGATTCTCGTACGAGAATCGTGCAGTGTATGGGCACCTTTAGACAGCTGCAGCACAGTGGGAGCCGAGGTGGAAGGGGAACGGTGTAAGAGCCAGCTGGTTCAAAGGATCAGGTGAGTATGATTTGTTTTTTGAACCTAGACAAAAATTACCGTATATACTCGAGTATAAGCCGTCCCGAATATAAGCCGAGGTACCTAATTTTAGCCAAAAAAACTGGGAAAAAGTATTGACCCGAATATAAGCCGAGGGTGGGAAATGAGGCAGCTACTGGTAGATAGATACCATTAAAATACATTAATATTTATTTAAAAGAAAAATAACCTAGCTCTGTAAGTGGAAAAGGGGGTACAGGGCTACATATCATGTACTACGGATCATTTAACCCATTCATGTTAGCAGAGGATCATTGTAAATGTATTGTTGCAGGCACTCTATATGTACATGTACTATATACTACATATAGAGTGCACTGAACAATAGATTTACAATTATCCTCTGCTAATATGAATGGGTTAAATGATCCGTAGTACATGATATGTAGCCCTGTACCCCCTTTTCCACTTACAGAGCTAGGTTATTTTTCTTTTAAATAAATATTAATGTATTTTAATGGTATCTATCTACCAGTAGCTGCCTCAATTCCCACCCTCGGCTTATATTCGGGACGGCTTATACTCGAGTATATACGGTAATTTTTGTCTAGGTTCAAAAAACAAATCATACTCACCTGATCCTTTGAACCAGCTGGCTCTTACACCGTTCCCCTTCCACCTCGGCTCCCACTGTGCTGCAGCTGTCTAAAGGTGCCCATACACTGCACGATTCTCGTACGAGAATCGAGGGAAATCCGGCGATCGTACGAGAATCGTGCAGTGTGAATGAAGACGTCTGACTGTTTCTACTGTACGGTCGCACGTCTTTTGTCTAAGGAGCATGTTCGAAAACCAGCCAAAAATCTTACGACTTTCGGCTGGTTTAAGGCATGCTCGGGAGACAAATGCCGAACAGGGCGGTGTGCGCACGCGCACACTGCCCGTTCAGCATTCCGGTCATTGGAAGCCCGCTCCTCAGCGGGGCGGGCTTGCGATGATCGCAAGTACGATCTGCCTGTCCAAGATGGGCAGATTGTATGTTTTTTTAATTACTTTACAACCATCACAAGACTAAGGTCTTGCGATGGTTGTAAAGTGTATGGCCACCTTTAGGTCCCTGAGTCATCACATTCCATACACAGTGTATAGCAGGCGGGGACACTGAGGAACATACCATCTCTCCTGCAGAGGAGGGGGCCTTATTGTTATTTTTGATCCTAGACACAAATGAGCAGTTAACCCTTGGAGTGTGGGGGTAACCCCACCGCAAGGGACAACTTTCCTCCTCAGTTGTCCCTCATTCTGATCCGATGTATCCAATTCTAGAACTGTTTACTATTTATCTACCTGAAGCAGGGGTGTAACTGTAGATCATGGGGCCCCATAGCAAAATTTTGATGGGGCCCCTCGGTGACCTTCCTATTGTCAATTATATTAAAGTCAGGTAGCAGGACAGCTGTCGGCATTTTCACCTTTACAGCTAATGTCAGCTCTTCTTGATTGCAAATGGCACTTGAGGTACAGGGTTGGTATCAACAGCAACTTCTGCTATCCTTAATGGGCCCCCTTCCACCTCCAGGCCCCATAGCAGCTGCATGGGCTGCTATGGCTTTTGTTACACCACTGACCTGAAGTGTTCTACTATGCTAGTGTATGCTGTCTCTCCTCTATAAGACAACCTCTATTATGGATCCACAGCACACCAGCACACCTTGCGTTGGTTTAAGAAGTTTTACTTGGCATAAAATATCAAATACCAATGTGAACCAGCATGCAGTGAAATACTTAAGAATGTCAAGCACTTCAGACAATAGATTTGAATCAGCTATTCAGATGACTGTGTATTCATCAATGGATGTGCTGAGAACAATCCCCTTACAAAGGATAAATGTTAGAACGGAACCCTGTCTCAGTCCCAATGTACACAGGTACCTAACCAACTGGCCAGTGGTCTAATCTTCGGCTAGCCAACGGTGGGGTCCCAATGTAGTTGATGATGAACTCGGTGTTGGGTGTGATCAATAAACCTAGGCCAGAGGCCTCTCACCAACCCAGGGTGGAGATGCACATCAGGGTTGTCCCATACTGTCAGCAGGTGTCTTCCAGAAGAGAGTCGGTTCACTTGATAGAGAAGGAACAGCAGACTCTAGAGGCTGAAGAAGATCAGATCATCTTACGCGGCGTTTGCTCGTCATGGTCGAATCCCCGGCCACGATCACTGCTCAACGGTCTCGGATGTCCCTCTGGTCGGCTCACTCGATCACCCGGCAGGCTGTCACGATCTCCTTGTCCCTCTGCCTACTAGCAGGTCAGACAGGGACACAGGATGCAGTCTCAGCGGCCTTCTCACTCACAGCAGCCATGCCCGGGGAATGACCTCTAGATAGGCAGAGCCAGCTGTCACTCACGCAGCTGGGCGGATCCAGACGTCTAATTCGGGATCCGCTCCAGGTGCGGCGTCCTCAGTATACCGCGAGCTGTAGCTCGCAGTATACTGAGCTCAGCGTGACGGGAGGACGCTAGTTTGTGTCCTCCCGTTACCCCAAGGAGAACTATGGGGAAAAACACTGACCCCATAGTTTTCCTTTAACAGTCCATATCCTACTGGCAGCCAGACTTACCATAGTTAGGAAGTGGAAAAGCTTAACTTCCCCGTCTATAGGTGAAACTCTCTCCATAGTGAAGCTACATTATCATCACGAAAAACTTATAGCACACAGGGAAGGGTCTCTACCTAAATTCGATGAGAAATGGCTCCGCTGGTCCAGTCCAGGCACATTGACCACTGCCACGTGAGGAGCGGGTCTCTGATACTTATTATAGGAGTATAAGTGTATAATGCTGGGCCACATTGGATTGGATGTTTGTTTGTTTTGCAATGTATATTTCGGTTTGGCGCCATTTTGTAGACCAATGTTACATAAGATGCCAATGTCAACTATGCGATGACTGCTGTTTACTCTTTGTTGTTTTTTTATTTCTTTTTATTATTTATTTTCCTTTTCTTATTAATGTCCTTTTATCCTATTTTTTTTTTGCTTTGCCTGTGCCAAAGCTTGTGTTGACACAGAAATCTCAACAAAAACTAAATAAAAATCTATTGAATTAAAAAGAAGATATTTTGAGTGGACTGTCTCCTTAAAGTGCTCACTATGTGTGCTTATATCCCCAGAATATCACACCTGTTAGTTAAAGCATCTGAAGTAAATACTCCTTTCTATTACAATATAAGGTACGTGCTCGGCCTCGCCCTGTAATCAGAGGTTCAGTTTCTGCTTCCTCTTCCTCTTCGTGCTGAGATGACGTCTTCTAATAAGGGGGAAGGAGCTGGATGTACCGTCTCTCAGAGTCCTCATCCTGTAACGCTGACATGTGGACACAACTTCTGCTGGATGGATATTGATCGTGTGCTGGAGACAATTGTGACATTGTAACCAATTCTTCTGAAGTCATTTCTCGGGACCAGTACTGTGATCGGGGTGAGAGGTAATATATACACTGCAGATCTAGATTAGGGGGAAACCGGCCCTAGGCACAGTAATTGATGTATAATCCTTTATCTAAAACCGGCCCTAGGCACAGTAATCATTTTAGGCTCTTCTCTCTAATAATGGCATAAAAGTTTTTTTCTATTAGAACGCAGTCTCCTCTGTCACTTTAACTGATTTCTTCTGACCTTTGGTGTCTCTCCCTTAGATCTTAATAAACTGTCAGCTCCTAACACTTCTGTGTTGTCCCTTTACACCCAAATTACATTGAAGATGTCCGACCTTCTGTAATACTCCCTCTACCTAAACAGACAGCTGACCTCTCACCATTCTCTTTCTTCACTTATCTGAATCACAATCTGAAAATACTTTTTTAGCTGGAAAACGAGGGGGGGTTCTTAAATTTGTTATTGTTTTTATTTTGGTTCCACCCCTAGCCGCCATTAATGCCTAGGCAAGAGTGTTAGTTTTCCCTGCTCCTGCAGCCTCCTGTGATATCTACATCACCTATCCTAGAAGGCTGCAGGAGCAGGGACGTGGCCTGTGTCAGCAGAGCAGTGGTTCCCTGTATGGCAACGATGGATTCGCTGAGTGGGGAAGTATGTTCTTACAGTGGAACCCAACACCACAAAAGGAGATAAAAGAGAAGGAATGGGAAAGGGGGAGTGAAGCTCCTTTTTAATCCCTACAATTTTGTGAATCCCTCATGATAGCCCAATAGAGTGTAAGCTCTTCTACATTCTGTATCCTCCCTTATATTCTAATAGATTGTAAGCCCCTCCCCTTCTGTATCCTCCCTTATATCCTAATAGAGTGTAAGCTCTTCTACCTTCTGTATCCTCCCTTATACCCTAATAGATTGAAAGCTCCTCCCCCTTCTGTATCCTCCCTTATATCCTAATAGAGTGTAAGCCCCTCCCCTTCTGTATCCTCCCTTATATCCTAATAGATTGAAAGCTCCTATACTTCGTGTCTAAATCCCCTCTCAAGTCAGCCATTCACAAAACACTTCAGGCAGATGTATGTTTTGTAAATGAGCAAATGGAAAGGGGGATGGAGACACAATGCTGGTGGTGGTATCTAGTGGATGTCCAGCAGTGATATCTGCAGCATGATAGAAGTACAGTGGTAGCTGTAACACCAAGATAACACTATTTTACCCAGATTGAAGAAAGCCACACCCATAAAGTGTGCCATAAAGACCTTCCGAGAACTCTTTCATTCGATGACATTGTTGTGCCCGGATTTTTTTCCAAGATATATATAATTTTCTGCCTGATGCTCTTATGTATATTACAATATTCCTCCACATTACAACGCCAGTACTTACAGCATTCTTTGGGAGTGTCTGAGACTTTCACTGTCTTTTCTCTTTTCCTCTATCAGAGATGGCGTCTGCTGATCTGGGGAAGGAGCTGGAATGTTGTATCTGTCTGAACATTTATAGGGATCCTGTAATGCTGAAATGTGGACACAACTTCTGCCGGGAGTGTATTAATAGTGTGCTGGACACACAGGAGAGGTCTGGAGGTTATTCCTGTCCTCAATGCCGAGAGAAATTTCCTGAGCGTCCTGCACTGCACAGGAACATAACATTACGTAACATCCTGGAGGATCTCCAGTCTACTCAGCCAGGTCAGGAGATATCTGGGAAGGTCTGTACCTACTGTATTCACTTTCCAGTACCTGCTGTTAAATCCTGTCTGTTGTGTGAAGCGTATCTGTGTGATAATCATCTAGGAGCCCACAACAAGTCACCAGAACATGTCTTATGTGACCTCACCACTTCCCTGGAGAACAGGAAATGCTCCATTCATAAAAAGGCCCTGAAGTATTACTGTAGTGAAGACTCTGTCTGTGTCTGCGTGTATTGTCGGAGAAGGGAGCACAAAGGTCATAAGATGAAGTTATTGAAAGTGGCCTCTGAAATAAAAAAGATTGGGCTAAGAAAGGTTCTGCAGACACTGACAATAAAGAGAGAGGAGACCGAGACCAGAGTCCAGAGTCTTCAGGAACACAGGAGGAAAGTACAAGGAAAAGCAGCCGGTGAGACAGAGAAAGTCACTGCCCTGTTCCGAGACGTCAGGAGACAACTGGAGGACCTGCAGAAGAGAGTCCTGAGCGAGATCTCTAGTCAGGCAGAGCAGATCTCATCCTCCCTGTCTGATCTGATCCGACAGCTGGAGATAAAGAAGGACGAGCTGTCCAAGAAGATGGGTCACATTGAGGAGCTGTGTAACAAGAGTGATCCACTGACCGTCTTACAGGAATCAGACACAGGGGACTTGTGTGATCCCGAGGATGGAGATAATGAGAGAGAGAGACATGATAGACTCCTCCATGAAGGAGAAGATCTGGATGTGGCTGGGATGTCACACATGTTCAACACATTATCGGATATAATAAAAGGGACAAATGTATGCTTCTATGTACAGAAGGCCGCAGACATAACACTGGATGTAAACACGGCTCATAATAGTCTACAGATATCTGATGACAAGAAAACAGCTTCCTGGTCAAATATAAGTCAGAATCGCCCAGACACACCAGAGAGGTTTCAGTCTCATCCTCACGTGCTCAGCAGTCAGAGTTTTTCCTCAGGGCGACATTATTGGGATGTGGATGTCGGGGGATCAAATAGCTGGAGGCTTGGAATGTGTTACCCCAGTATGGAGAGGAAAGGACGTCAGTCAATGATTGGATGTAATAAGGAGTCCTGGGGAATTTTCAGGAATGAAAATGGGTACTCAGTGATGCATGACTGTAAAAGAATACTGTTACCTGACAATATCTCCAGTGATAGAGTCAGTATCTGTCTGGATTATGAGGCCGGGCAGATTTCCTTCTATTCTCTGTGTGATATATTGAGAAACCTCCACACCTTCAATGCCACCTTCACTGAGCCTCTTCATGTCGTGTTGGGTGTATGGAACGGTTCTGTAAAGCTATGCGGGGGGAAGCAGTAGTTAGATATTCACTCTCTGATTGCTGCCTCGTTGGTGTGGTTTCCAACAAAGCGCACTTTCCATGGGGATGACGGGTAACACATCCACCCATGGTTCTGGAAAAGTGGATAAGGACTTCTGGCATGAGAAAATAGAAATACACGTGGAAGGGAAGGCTACACAACTACATCATGTTAAACTCATTTATTTCAGGTATTTATATAGTGCCAACAATGTATGCAGCACTTCACATATTACTCAGACACATCAGTCCCCACCCTAGGGGGAACAAAAGGTCCCTATGTATGCTTAATATTAGGGACAATTTAGATAGAAGCTGTCGGGTCCAGTGGGCATGACACTACGAGTTATTGTAAATATGTTGTTATCAGTGTGATTGGGGGTAGTAGCCACTTGACTTAACCTTCCAGCAGAGGTGGCAAGACGAGGTAATCACAAGGGTTAATTCATTCAGTGATAGATGACAGAGGCTGTAAAGTGTAAATGAGGTTTATATAACACAATTAGCATCTTAGTGTTGGGTGGGGATTCCTTTTGGCCTGGGCCATTCTTTCACACCTCTCCTAGCCAGGGAGGCACCAAGAATTGAGCCTTCTAAGGGCCCTCTCACAAACAAAAGAAGCACAAACCCAGCCTCCTTATATTAAAACTCACATATAAAAGATTATCAGGGTTATTCACAAAAGGGTGAAGAGTTTGGAGAAGGCCGGAGAAGGGAACAATCTAGGACAACATAGCTGAGCTGGAAAGTGAACTGAATTGTAGAATTTTTCCAAATCAGCAATTTTGGTCTAAATTGTTCACTTCTCCTGCCTTCTCCAAACTCTTCACCCTTTTGTGAATAAACCCTTAAATATGGATCCAGGGATTCATATCTGGGGGTCCTAGTATATATATTCCAGGTGCCCTCGTTATTCCCAGTAGAATGACACCAGACAAGGCTGGGGTATCTTTAATCGTCTAAGGGAGAGATGAAAGTTGGTTCTGGAGGGTCTCAGCCTACCCATGTGAGATGTCTATGGAGAGAGGCAATTTTGCTGTGTATGAATCTAGAGATACCATAGATGTGTATGAATCTAGAGATATCCAGAAATATTAACCTTTTTGTCATATACGGGTTCTGTCCGATGAAAAACTCCTCTACCAGGTGTGAAATAGGTGGGGGCTTCAGGTCCTTATCTCTTAGCCACTCCTGCTTCCCCCACCCTGTTCATCCCAGAGGCTGGACTGCAACCTGAGCTGGGACGCACATATGTTGCATTGGTAACCAAAGTGTGCTTACTTGGGGCCAAAATCTAATTTTGTAGTAAGTGGCCATTTTCCTTGCCGGCAGCCCCCCAGGATAGAATAGAGTGCTTCTGTAAGTAGGATTTCTATCAGTTTTCTCCTTTTTTATTTTGGATCTGTTTGTATTGTGTAACTGTCTCGTATAACAACTAATTGTAAATACTGTATATGTACTGTGAATACTTTTCCTTCATAATAAATCATTAATTTATTAAGTTCCTGCCTTTGTCTGGTATAAGAACCATATATGTTCCTGAGGAGGTTCTTTTACTAATACTATACCTTAGACACGTTCGGCTAAATTTATGTTTTGGGGTCTTTGTAAGTTATTCTGGGTATTATATACTAAATTAGGAATTGAAGGTTTAACCAGGTTTGGTGGCGGCAATCTGTAGATTAGAGTGGGTGGTTTGTAAGTGGGACCTTTATTCATTATTCCCCAGTCTAGTGAAGACAAATACTGATTTTTCAACCCTCTTACCACTGCAATACATCACGTGGCCGCATGGAGTAGCGCCCGTCCGTGACAAATTGGTGGCATAGCGGTGGGATTTTTCTTACCGGATTTTAGTGTGCTGGATTTGCTAGTGTGTGAATTCCAGACACTAAAATAAATTGTGTTCTCAATTTCCAAAGGAATAACTCAGTGCATATAATATAGTTACACCTCAAACAGATCTCCCTTCCCCCCTTTTGTTTTCTTTTCTATCTTTTTTTTTGGCTGGTTTACAAATGGAATACCCAACACAGTCTAAAGGTGCCCTGGAACTGCTTTGTCGGGAGAAATGTATTCCTGTTCGGGGAAAAACAAAAGATGAACCGATTCAAGCGCTTGTGGGTTATGATACGAAACAGGCAGCACAGCATAGAGCATCGGATACAGCCGAAGGAGGACCTACCACAGAGGAGATTCCAGCAGATAAGGTCAGTGAGTCAGCACCCCCCTGGAGATACACTGGACTCTTATTTGTAAACTGTTCTAAAATATGTGGATCCCAACGTATGGCTGGAGCTAGTCAGGAAATATCATGAGGAAGAGGCTGCAGAATGCCAGGCCAAAAGAGAGCACCAACTAGCCCTAGCAAGGTTGGAGAGATCAACTGCCTCACCTGTGAGCGCTGACTCTAGAGACTGTTCTGCCCCCAGACCCCGTGTAGAGAATTTTCCTACTTTGAATAAAGATGGGGACCTGGATGTGTTTCTGCGCAGCTTTGAAAAGACTTGCAGGCAGTACGAGTTGCCAAAAGATCAGTGGGCCAAATATCTCACCCCTGGACTGAAAGGGCCAGCGTTACAGGCTTTTTCAGAACTGCCAGTGGACCGTGATCAGGACTATGAGACCATCAAGGCTGCACTGCAGCAGAGGTACAAGCACACACCTGAGGTGTACCGAAAGAAGTTTCAGGCTTTTCAAAAGAATGCCAGAGAGAGCTATGCATCAGTTGTGGGCTACCTGACCACAGCGTTCAGACAGTGGGCCGGAGATTACTACTATGGAAAGCCTGGAGGACCTGATGATTAAAGAACAGTTTGTGCAAATCTGCCCAGCGGATGTACAAGAATGGCTGCTAGATTGTAAGCCAAAAACGGCCCTTCAAGCGGACAAGTTAGCCGATTTCTACATGGCAAATAGAGCACCTGTGGACCGGAGCAGAGGATTTCCCAAAGGAGCATCTGGATGGAGGGGCCCGGCACCACGACCCTCCATCAGCAACCCTACCATACTCTCCTCTGTGCCTGCATCGTCAGGAAGAGGGGAGGCCGGAGCCACTTTCAGGCAGGTGTTTTGTTGGCAACAAAACAGGGCACATTAGTTCTACTTGCCCAGAGAAAAAATGCCCTAGAAGAAATGTCCTACACCATACAGACTTCCTAAATGTTACCAGTATGTGAAACAATCTTCATGGACTGCTTTTTAAGCCTAAATGAATTAATCTTCTAGCAAGTATCCACTCTGACACCAAACATAGAGATTATATAGGGGGTGATTTACTAACCTAAACACACGCACGCACCAGGTGCGTGTGATTTTTACACAGCAAAGTGTATTTATCAACCAAAAAGTCTCTTAAAGCGTATCTCCACTAATGCCATATATGGCAAAATCATGCACATGATGCATATATAATGCTGCTTCACAGTTTAGACAAAAATGGTTAGCTCATGCATTTACATTCCTGCATTCATCAACGCAAGCAACACAACGTAGAGCTAATTTACACAACATCACCTTGCAATTCATGCTTGGCTTTGCACAACACACCTGCTGGGTGTGTACACACTACAAAGGTGTTTAGATTCCACCCATAGATCATGCTGGGAGGGAACACACTACAGAGGTGTATACATGTTCGTGGTGTGTTTATAAGGTTAGTAAATCAACCCCTATGTAACAACAAACAGTAGCTGCCAAGTTGGATACAAATGCTACAATATTCTTTTCCTTTGTATCTATTGATCACTGTCTAAGCTGTGCGGCAAAAGAGGGGATTTAAAACACATATGAGCCCACTGGTTCCTTCATGACTTTATACTGACAGTTTATGCTCTTTGAATTTTTACATCAACCAAATGAGCATCTGTTGTCATACTATCGGAAAGCCCTGAGCCCACGGCTCTATTGGAATCCATCTCTGTGATTCACACGGTGCCTTCCGTGGTCACTACAAGCACCCACCCAGCCTGGGGTTACTCTGGTTAGGAGTGCAGCAAGACATCCTGTTTTTGATGTCTCTCATATATTAGTTTCACCTTTTAAGTTGCATTAGTGAAATAAATGAACTTTGCACAATATTCTAATTATTCGAGTTTCACCTGTATATGCTCAAACATTCAGCCAGGCAGAGTCCGGTTACACACCTATCTTGCTATTTAACCCCGTACAGGGATCATCTCCCAGATCGACACTTACATAGTGTGCATGTTTATCTTTACCGCTGGTCTATGTCAGGTCATTATTAATTATTGTATAAAAAATATATTTATATATAATTTTTATTTTCCTAATTTTGTTTTACACTTTATTTAATATTTTTTACACTTTGTAAAAAAAAAAAAAAAAATTGTCAGTTTATATGAAGCAATCACCATGACTGTTTGTTTGATAAATTAACTTTTTTTTTAAATGTTTTGGCTATTAGACAGCTAATAATAACCTTAGAGACTGATCCTGACTTTAGTCAGATTCAGATCTCACTAAAAGCTCTTTGATGGTGCCTAGACGATCAGAACTGATACATTTCACTCAAAGGATATACATTGTGTATCTTGTATCTTTTCAGTGAACTGTATCTAAACATCGGCCTCTCCAGCTGTCAAAACAAATAACAGAGAGGTGAGTCACTGCTACCTCTCTGCTATTTTCAGCTGTCAGATACGGGATCGCAAATTGCGGTCCTCTATTTGCATGTAACGGCTTCATTCTTTCATTAATGAAAGGAAGAAGCTTTTACAAAAAGTTCGACACACCTCGACCCTTCTCTTCTCTACTCTGCTACTGACTACCTCTATGACAAGATCTCACCCCTGTCCTGCCCTGACCTGGATACTTCTGTCTACAACAGCTCACTCTCATCCTCTCTAGACACCTGGCTTCCCTCACTACACACAGACTTAGACCACGTCCACTACAACCGTGGCAAACAAATGAAACCAGAAATCTCAAGAGACACAGCTGTGCTCTTGAACGACTGCGGCAAAAAACTCGCAAGACT